AAACAGTCCAAGGACTCCTTACTCAAAACCCACCACTGGGCAGCCCAATGGGCCAGGTCCTGTGTCAGAGGAYACCCAGGGAATCAGAAACGCCCCATCTGAAGGAGTTCAGCCTAGGAGAGTGATGCTGGGGGCAGACCTAATAATGGACAGGCCCCACATCAATACAGGGCAGTGACGGGTCACAATGTGTTACTGAAGAAAGGGCCCTAGTCCAGCACTGGGCTCAAGGAGGGCTTCTTGGTGGTAGCCTCAGATTAGTCCCCCCAGGAGCCAGCCCCATAAGTGGAGGGGGTTGGGGAGAGACGGAGGCCCTTTCTGCCAGTGCTGGTCTCAGGACCCTTCTGCAGGGCCAGGTGTCCAAGTCAGATCAGAGGCAGGTGGGGTGCGGGGAGGACCAGRCATGCGGGGCTGGCGAGCAGGCACTATGGACCCAGAGCCAGGGAGACCGGCCACCGGCGCCGCAGGTGCAGGGCGCACCTCAGCGGCCCGCTCGTACCTGCGGCTCGCGGTGAGACCCAGCCTGGCGCGGGGMAGCCGGAGGCTGCGGCCCATCCAGGCCCGCGCCCAGCATGGCTGCTCCGAGAGAAACCCCACCGCAGGCTGCGAGGGGCGGGCCCGGCGCCCTCAGAGCCGCGGGCGGGTCTTCGCCCGGACTCGGAGCTGAGTGTCTGGTCTCTGAGCGTCGCCATGTGGCCGAGAGGAGGATTGCAAACCCGGCAGCCCGGAGTTTAGAGCCTGGGGTCCATGCCTAAAAACGGCCTTGGCTTGAGTAACCCTGCCTGCCAGAGGACGACTCTCACGGATATGGGGTGCCAGGGCCGTGGGATCTCAGAGCCTCAGCTAATTTGACCTTTTTTTGAGAAATGAGACTCTAGCTGAAGGCATGTCTTGTCCAGCTCCATCCAGCTAGCAAGTCTGGTTCAGTCTCCAATTCCAGGTCCTGCTCAAATCCCACCCACTCCAGGAACATTTTCCTGAATAATAACACTGAGCCAATTTYATGTTGTATAGTATGCTTTATACACATGCATTGAGCCAGTATGCAGTGAGTGTCCAAGTGTCCAGTGCCTGCCACTCTGCCAGATACTGAATGGAGGGTGGACAGAGATAAGCCTGTTCCCCGGTTTTACTCACAGACAGTTGGGAGACAGAGGCCAGTCAGACAGCCACACAAATGAATATTCAACCACCCACTGTGTGCATAATATAACAAGGCACTTGATCTGGTGGAAGGGACAAGAAGGGAAGGTTTCCCTGAGGAAATTACATTTGTGCCTGGGGGGCAGGGCACTGGAGAAGTAGGCCGAAGGAACAAATATGCAAAGGCCCCCACATGTCACAGTGAGTCAGGGATAAGGAACTGCAGGTCAGAAAGCAAGGGGAAGATAGGTCATAGATGAGGCTTGGAGGTTGGGGAGGAGGGCAGGGACCAGGTCTTGGAGGAACTTGTGAGAAGAGGAGTTTTGATGAGAGCAGGARGTAGCTGTTGGAGGGCTTCAGTAAGGAGAATGACCCAGTTGGGTTTGCATTTGGGGAAGATCTTTCTGGCTGCTCAGTGGAGAATGGATCAGAAAGAGGCAAGAGAGGAAGTAGCAGTGATTGGGAGGCCAAAGCAGCATGGCAGGGAGATGGGAGGGTTGCCACAAGGCAGGGGTGGAGCTGCAGAGAAAAGGCAGGGCTGGGGGCCTAGGCACGACTCTCAGGACTAGCCCAATAGGAGAAGAAGGTGTCAAGCGTGATTGGCACTTTGGATCCATTGTTTAAGGTGCCTTTGAGATGAACACAGGGAGATGGAGGTGACAAGGCTTGGAGCACAGAGGGGAAGCTGTTGGGAGAGAGAAATAAGGGTTTCTCCAGGGAGAAGTCCCCCAGGGGAGACTGCATTAGAAGCAGAAAGAAGGCTCAGGTCTGSCCTCCATAAGCCTGAAAAAGTCATAGACATGAAATGGCCAGARTGCAAACTCACAGAGGGGCATCTCAGAAGCAAAAGGACTGGGATTGCAAGAAGGAAGGAACACGAATCGGGAATCCACCCAGGATAGACCAGAAAAATCCCTGGGTTGGTGTGGTGACCATCATCCAATGATACCAGGCTGAGAGCAGGCAGCAACTGGAGAGCATTGAGGGAAGGCAGAGAGGAGAAATGGAGGGATAACCTGGGCACTCAATGTGAGGAGAAAGATACTTTGGGGACGAAGCTAATAAGAACACATATTGATGGGAAGAATTTGGTTGAGAGAAAGCCATTGAAGCTATGGAGGAGAAAAGAGATCCTTAATACTGAGCAGTTCTGAGAGAGGGGGACTGGCAGGTGGAGATGCTCCAGAGGACATCCTCCAGTTGGGAGGAGTGAGATCAGGAAGCCTGGAGGAAACTGGGACGGTGACAAGTCCCTAAGGGTGCTCATGGGTCAGGGGAGCTGAGAGGTCAAGAGGCTGTGAGCTCATCCTCCTGGATAAGGTGTTGAGGTTGGATCTGGGTGGGGTCAAGTGAGCCAAGAGGGAAGCATCCCGAGAATGAGGAGGAGTGGCAGCCACAGGCAGGAAGGAGGTGGGGTAGCACCACAGTGCCAGTCTCCAGGAGGAGGGTCTCACAAGGAGGAAGATGTCCCAGAAGTAGCTACTAGAAGCAAGGCAACTGAACTATTTTCCCCTGGAGACGTAATAGCCCCTCTTGGAGTCTCCAGGGAGAGTCAATTTTGGTGGGAGAGGCACAGAGATGGATCTGGGACCAAGGAAGATAGAACCTTCCCAGTTTGGGTGCAGCAGAAGATAGATGGGGGCTGGGCTGTGTGTGCTGCCTGGAAAAGCYAGAGACAAGGGGCAGGGATCATTGTCATGGTCAGTGTGTGAAGAAGGTGGACCCCAGCTCTTGTTTATTTATTTGTTGAAAAAGTCACAGACATGAAATGACCAGAGTGCAAGCTCAGAGAGGGGCGTATCAGAAACAAAAGGACTGGGGATTGCAAGAAGTTCAGTCCACARTTCTGTATGTTGGCAGAACTGTGGATTGAAGGCGGGACCTCAAGCTTGTTTGGCAAGTGCTCTCCCCCTGAGCTGCACCCCTCCCTCCCAGCCCAAAGAAGGAACTCTTGATCCCATTTGACAAGTAGGGAAATCGAGGCACAGGCAAAGAAAGGTGAAGTAATTTTACTCAAGGTCAGACAGCATAACCACCTATTAAGAGATTATTATCATTAAGTTCAAACTTGGGAGCAGAGTTTTAAACCCTGTCCATCCGACTTCTAAGTAAGTGCTCTTGTCCATCTGGTCTGCAACAGTGGGACTCCCTCCCTCCACACAAACAAAGCAACCCACCCCAGGAGGACAGTGGCATCGCACACACCCACCATCAACAACTTGGATATTTCTTGGGAGGACTATGGAAGGCTGTTTGCTCTCAGTACCTGAAAAGGGGAAGGGGCTAACAGCAGGCTGGCTTGCAGRGCCACCCCTGAGCACTGAGGACACACCAGTGTCCAGTGATCCAGTGATCACGAAGCATTGAGTGAAAGTAAAAGTGGCCGTGATGGCTCCCAGAATGAGTACCAGGCCTTGTACCACTCTTGGTTTCTAAAACCCTTCATGAGCCCGCAGTAGGAGCAGACTCCCACRATAAAGGGAAGTTTCTTGTCAGCCTTGGTGGTGGGGGCAGGGCAGGCTCAGAGCTGGATTTAAGATGACCTAGTAAACATAGGAACATGAGTGCTCCTGACCTGGCTTTGCTGCAGCTGCGTCACATCCCTCCCACCCCACACACACCTTTTGTCTGCTCTGCTGTACTCTGAGCTCCTGCAGGTTGTGAGCTCGGCAATTCTTGGATTCCTCCCAGGACAGCCCAACACTTTGTCCACAACAGTCAGTCAATATTTGCTGAATTAAATCTGGGGCCCAGGTTGGGAGCTCCTGGATGAGGAGCCAGACTGTCTGATGACTTTGAATCTCATCTCCTCACAATCCTTGCTTTGTGACTTTGAACATGCCACTGAACCTCTCTGATTCTCAATTTTCTCACTTATAAAATGGGAGCTGCTGCAAGAGAGACCTGTGCAACTGCACTTGGGAGGACCATGCACTTGGTTTGATGCTCTGCTGTTCCTGTATTGAAATTCTTAACCCAATTTTGAAGAGGGTACCCTGCATTTTCTTTCTTTTGTGGGGGTGGGAAGTATTGGGGAYGGAACCCAGGGGCACTTTACCATTGAGCCCAAGTCTTTTTWAAATTTTTTTACTTTGAGACTAGGTCTAAGTTGCYGAGCGCCCACTGAATTTGCCCAGGCTGTACATGAACTTGGAATCTGCCTGCCTGAGCCTCCAGAATTGCTGGGATTACAGGCGTGTGCCACCACATCTGGCAGCATTTTCATTTTGCAGTGGACCCTGCAGATTCTGTAGCTGTCCTGAATGGGAGTGACAATATTCCCTGTCTCCCAGAGTTGCAATGATTAAAAGAAATGTTCTGCCTAAAGTGCTTAGCACATTAACAAGTGCCCAGTAAATGGGAACAAACGCCTACTGTCCCCTATTAGATCATCCCCAGTGCTTGCTGATGTGCGATGGATAAATGAAATGACCATGACCCAATGAGTGACAGACAGCCTGGGAACATCTGGAAGCAAAGGTGCCAGGCCAACAGGAGATGAGGCTGTGGATGGAGGTTTGAGAGGAGTTAGTTGTAAGGGAAATGGGACTGTTTCGTGCCCTAGATTGTAGAGCAGTAGTTTCCTCCACAGCCAGTGATCCCTTCTGTAGTCCAGACCCCAGTGCCCACACCCCACAAGAAGTCCTCTTGGTAGTAAGAGCTGAGCCCGTGGGTTCCAGTCTTTATTGTTGGGGTGTGGTCTAGCCACCTCCGCCCCCCAAAACGTCCTCAGTCTCCAACTTCAGGAGTGCACCTTCCGCCTTGCCCCGCGAGGCTGGGATCGGTGCTTGACCAGCACTGCCGCCCCGCCCAAGGTCACGAGGGGGCGTGGCCTCGCGCTCAGGCTGGGGCGTCGCTCAGAGGAAGGGGTTGGTGCCAGACTGCGGGCCCGGGTGCAGCGGCCCAGCCGAGGCGGAGGTGGGCAGCAGCGGCTGCGGCAGGCTGGCGGGCGGTGGGGCGAAGGCTCCAGCCTGTGGGAAGACGCTGACGGAGGCGGGAAGGGTCATGCCGACCGGCACGCTGCTGAGCGGGAGGGGCAGGGAGGCACTGTAGGTCATGGAGCCCAGGGGCGCCCCGGTAGGCCCGCCGACCGGCAGGCCCAGCGCAGGTGACCCGGTGCGCATCTGGTTCAGGGTCGGCCTGCCCTGCTCACCGAACGGGTTAGTGGGGGACGGAGCGCTGAGTCCTGCGAACGAGAGAGGGCGCAGGAATGGGCGGCAAGTTCGGGGTCTTAGAGCCAGGGAAGAGGAAGACGTAGGGCAGCAGCTGGGCTCTGCTAGGAGGGCAGGAGAGAGCAAGGCTCTGGGGGTCGGGGGACTCGGAGGTGCCCTACCTGTCAGGAAGGGATTCCGGGTCTTCGCAGCCTGTGGCGCCTTGACCAATGAGTCAAGGTTGACCAAGGAAGAGGCCGAGGGGCCCAGGAAAGACTCTGGGGTACAGCAGGCGCGGGTCTCCTGTCCAGGCTGGGTTAGTGCTTCTCCTAGTACATCCAAGTCAAAGGCATCTGGCTCCTTCGTGCTATTTTGCTTGGAAGTGGGACTAGGGTCTCCAAACAGGTCCAACTCTGAAAGGTACATGATAGAGCTTGTTGGTGGGAGACAGATTGGCCACTGAGGTGAAGGGAAGAGGGCAGGAGCCCAGTCTGCWGGACCACTCATTCCCAAAGCCTCAGTATCTCTTGGCCTCCTGCTCACCCACAGGGCTGCTGGGCTTCCCTGAGGGCAAGGCCTGCCCCTCCAGACCTTCCTTGGTTTTTGTGGATTCTGGAGGTTTGGCAAGTAGGTCGAAGTTCGAGGTACCACCTAGAACTAGACAAGGAGAAAGAGGGAGATGAGTTGGCAAAAAGGGCAGGCACTGGTCTGACCCCTTTCCTGGGAAGTGGCCCTCTTAGCACAGTACCTGCTGGCACCAGAGGGAGGGGGACCCAGAAGACCCTCTGCCCTCCTCTTACCAGGTGTGTCAGAAGACTCCATGGAGGCCCCCCAAGGGTCAGCTCCAGTGCTGGGGAGTTTGTGGTGGGGAGACTTTGGTGCCCAGGGGTCTGTGGTGGGGAGTCCAGCAGGCAGCACTGGGGTCCTGCCCCAGGGCTCAGAGGAGGAGAGGGTAGGAAGCAAGTCCCAAGGCTGGCTTCGGGACAGAGCATTTCCTGAGGGGACTGGAGACCAGGGGTCTGCAGAAGGTCCCCAGGAAGAGCCACTGGGCTCTGTGTTCGGCCTGAGACCTAGAATGGGAATAGCACAGGTGTAAACCCAGACCCCCAGCTCCCAGAATCCTCGTGCAGGGCCTCTCCCAGTTACACAGCCCAAGTGGGAGGTATGGGAGCCACTTGACCAGCAGCTGAAGTCCAGGTTAATTATCCCAGGCCGCTGGACCCCCAGGCATGGGCAATGTTGGCCACCTTCCCATTCAGGGCTGGAATGGCTAGAGGGCAGCAAGAGAATCTCTACTGAGATTCACATCACTGAGTTCTTTCACCATAAAAGCCAGGTCACAGAGGCAGCTGTGACTGGGGGAGGTGAGAGATTTGCCCCAGCTAATGTGGGGAAGTGGTTGACCATAGTGGCTGGGAAGGAAGGGGCTTTCTGGGACCAACCTAGGAGCCTCTTGCAGACCTGCATACCCACCTGGGATGTCCCATGGGTCAGCAGAGCAATGTGTGGAGGGTGGGGCTGTGGCAGGTGCAAAGATGTCAGCCAAGTCCAGGATGGAGGACTGTGGAGGGGAGAGGCAGCTTGGACGTAGGCAGGGCCCAGAGGGAGGGCAGGCCCTGACCTGCCAGCCTAACTCGAACTCATTCCCTCCTTTATTCATTCCACAAACATCTCTTAATGATCCCTCACCTCTGTACAGCTTCCAGTTTATAAAATGTTTCCTCATCCATTGACTGCCCACTTTCATAACAACCCTGTGAGGAAGGTAAAGCAGGTGATATACCCACTTTACAGATGAGCCAGTTCAAGCCCAAAGAGGGGAATTGGTTTGCCTGAAGTTACACAGCCAGGGGGAGGCAGCGCTGGGATAGAATTCAGGCCAGCAGAAAGAGGCCGTAAGAGCAGAGATGATCTTTTTTTTTTTTTTTAACAAACCTACCTCCATAGGTCAGTGTCCAAGAAAAACTGACCACATGAATGTGGGCAGARAGGGGATAGAGACACCCCTTGGGCGGCCTGAATAGCTTTGGAGGGTGGTCTTGCTCTCAGAAGCCATGTACTCCCCCACCCACCCCTGCCAGGCTGCCCAAGATGTCTTCAGCACCATGTGCCAGAGCCAGCCCCTAGTCATGACCCACAGTATCCCGTCATCCTACAATATCAGGATCAAAGAACCTACTGTGTAGAAGGGAAAACCAAGGCCTACACAGTGATATTCTCCAAGTCATAAAGTAAGTGGCAGCAAATCCAAGGATCTTGGTCAGGATCTTGTCACATCCCATTTTGCTATCAGCTCAAGTCTAGATCATGCGTATGGGACCAGGGGCTGTTACATGCTGCCACCCCCATTTTCCTTTAATAAATATTTAAGTAGTACTTACTATACACCAAGCACTGTTCTACGCTCTACAAATACTAAATTACCTCCCAGGCCTGCTGGCCTACGCACCCCACTTGCTCCCTACCTGACTGGTTTTCAGCTTCTCTTCCTCCTTTTTCTCTTCTCTTCCTGGTTCTGTGTCCCCCCGATGGCGATGGTGAACCACAGCCCCTACACCATTGGCCACGGGGGAGTCATCTCCCCGCCAGGACCTCACCTCCTGCAGAAGGTACAGAGRCAGGAGGAGCATGAGCAGTTCAAGCTGAACTTGAGGGGACCTGTGCGCCCAGCCTGGGGTCAAGGAGAGAGCAGGGTGGGAGGTACCAAGTTAGAGCAGCAGAGAAGCCGGTTAGTGCCCATAGCACCTCCACCAGCACCGCACTGGGGCACCTGCAGCCCAGGCCCAGGCGGCTCAGCCCACTCACTACCTTCTGGTGCTCTTGCTGGCTCAGGCGCAGAGCCAGCTGCAGCTGTAGGTCCTCGTCCCTGTGGGAGGCTGGGGGTACTGGCTGCAGGGAGGAAGAYGGGTGAACTTGACTCAGCACTCCCCACCCTTGGCCAGAGGGCCAGCATAGCTTTGCCCAGGAAGCAGGGATGGAGACAGAAATGGCCACCATAAATGGGGCAGGCAGTGAGGATGTGGCTTAAGGATCAGGAAGCTGGGTCTTTCTCTTCTGGTGGCCTGAGTGCTCCCCTAGCACCACCATATGTGCCCAGCTGCTTCTTACCTGGTCTGCCTGCATCTGCAGAGGTTATGGCAGAGATGATATCAGAGGTACTATCACTGTCCTCCCTAAAGGACAGCTGATGGGGGAGCAGCAACCCCAGTGTTTTCAAGRATGTCTGTCAGCATGCTCCCCTCCCCCATCACAAGGCCCTTCAAACATACTGTATACCCCAACCACACGTCACACTCCCAGGCCCAACCAGAGAGGACTGAAGTCCAAGAGGGTCCTGCCTGAAACAAACCCAGGGACACAGGCCCTACACTGTCCTTGAGAGAGGAGTAGGGCTTGAGGCCCAGGGTGGGAAACCCGAGTCATGGAGCACCAGGCCTCTCTCCTCCCTCTGTGGCCTGCCCGGGACAACTGAGGTCTCACCTTCTCAGCCTCTTCTCGGCTCATGGCCAGTGCTAGCTGCAGCTGCAGCTCCTCTTCTCCTGACGTCTGGGGCCGCGCTTGCTCCAGGTCTGAGGCATAGCGGGGGGACGAGGAGGCAGCTGCAACAACCATCATGGCCTCTATGACCACACTAGTACCCACAGGGCCACAGTACCCACATTCCTCTGCCTGCTAGGAAGCTGAGGATCAGATAGGGAAACTGAGGCAAAAAAACAACAACTGACTGTCAAGGGCTCCAGTGAGCCAGGTGTTTTACTGGGCACTTCCTGTAGATTCCCCATTCCACCCAGGAAGTGCAGATGCCAGTGCCACCTTAGCAGATGGGCAGACACCTCAGAGGGTGCCAGGATCCTGAAGCAGGACTTGAGCTCAGGTCCCTTGAATCCTGCTCTTGGACTCTTCCAGCTGGACCCCACTGTGCTTGGAGCCAAGAGGAGTGGGAAGGCAGGAACTTCCAATATAACAAAGTCACAGCCCAAAGCTCTCAGCAAGCCAYCAACAACTTTATGAAAGCAGGGCCATTCTAAGCCACATCGGGTAGTGCACACCTATAATCCCAGCTACTCAGGAAGCCAAGGCAAGAGAATTGCAAGTCTGAGGACAGCCTTGCAATTTAGTGAAACTCTGTCTCAAAATAAAAAGGGCTGGGGATGCAGCTCAGAGGTGGAGCTTACCTAGGTTCAGTCCCCCATCCCCAGCCTCCAAAAAAAGGAGGGCTATTCCAGAGTTCCTCAGATCAGCCTTCACTGCTGGGGGAAGCATTCAGGAACTGCCCAGCAACTGCCCCTATTTTCAAGGGCAGTGCCCTCAAGAGAGAGAGTTAAGAGGAATGCCACATGTCTGGTTGAGGGCCTTTTTTTGTTTTGTTTTGTCTTGTTCTTGTTTTGTTTTGCTTTGTTTTTTAACAGATCAAACAACAGAAGTTATCCCCATCTTACAGATAAGGAAACTGAAGTTCAAAGAGTTGGTTATCCAGGTCACACAGCTTGGAAGGGGTACAATAGATGGTATCTGACCCGAGTCTGTGCAACCACCATGCCATCCTAGCAATGGTTAATTAATAAATTGAATGGCAAATGTATAATAACATTAAATTTGAGCTAACTTGAGCAGTGCTTGCTATGCGGGAGCATTATATCTTGCACATTACACTCCTTATCTTGCTGGTCCTCATAACATCCCTCCAAGGTAAATACTATTCACCATGGTTCAGGGTTGCAAAGCCAGGGTTGGACTCTGGCCACCTCCCTGTCCCAGCCACACTCTCGGGGCTCACTCACAGGTGTAGGAGGATGGAGAACCCCGCTCACCGCGGCGGCTGAAGCCCAGCTGCCCGCTGCCGATGCCTGCGCCCTCCAGGGCCATGCGCTCCTTGGTCTTAAGGGCATGAGTTCGCTCCTGCCGCAGGCGCTCCTCGTCCTTGAGCAGGGCCATCACCTGCTTGACCTTCTCGCGCACGTTGACGCCCTGGTCCTTGCCATCGCGGTCGATGTACTGGAAGTCCTTGAGCGTCTGGATGGTGTAGAGGTTCTCACGGCACTGGTGCGCCACGCGCTCCGAGCCGGTCTTGAGCAGATAGTCCAGCAGCGTCAGCGCCTTGTACACGTGCCKCCAGTTCTTGCCACTGTCGTTGAGCCGACGCCACAGCATGCCCATGACCTCGGCGAAGGCCACCGTATTGAAGGTCAGGTCGGCGATCTCCGACATAAGGGAGCTGGGTGGACCCCAGGGGTCATTGCTAGTAGCCTCGCGCACTTTGATCTCCGCCTCGGAGTAATTATGCACGATGTTCTTCACTTGGCGGCGGAGGGCAGAGGTCGTCATGGCTGGAGACTTGGAGGTGGGCGGCCCCCGCCCCCGTTGGAGGTGGAGGGCCGAGGGCCACCGTCGCGAGGACASGGTCTTGAAGGTCGAGCCGCTGTGCTCTCAGCAGGGCGGCTGTGTCCTTGGGTCCCACATGGGGCTGAGGAAGAGAAGGTCCGAAACTCAGGATCAGTGCTCCCCTCCCAAGGGTCACTCAGCACTGACTGACAAAGGCCTAGCCAGAATGTTCCAGCTGGTAGGAACAGCCTTCAGTGGACACTCACTTTTATTTTTCTTATTTTACTTATTATTCAGCAGGTATTTGTAGCTTGGCACACCCATCTACACAACCACACCAGAGATGCCATGATAACTATCTCCACTCAAGCATGGGGATAGTGAGATTCAGGAATTCCATGGCTTGTCCAAAATCACAGAGCTGCTAAGTGGGGGGGGGGGGGGCAGGATGACCCAGAGTGGGTGGCCTCAGCGAGGACCTTAACATGACCGCTGTGATGCCCAGTCCCCTGCCTCTCTCCTGACTGGCTCCCTCTGGGGAGGATCTTGCTCACAGGTTTCCTGCCTTCTTTGTTCGCTCTCCTCTTTTCCTCCTATGCTGATTTTTATAGTTTGATTCGTTCAGCACCTGGTTCCTGGGACCTTCCCTGGGTCAGGCCCTACACCAAGCTCAGGACACGTGTGTTGGTTCACCCACATTTGGTTGTGAGGGTACAGATGATCACAGTCCAGTGCAGGCATGCACAGAAGAACAGAAGATGCATGAAAGGAAAATCTGAGGAGACTTCTTGGAGGAGATGGTGGCTGAGCCAAGATCAGGGACCCAACGGGGAGGAGGAGAAGAAGGGGGAGCTACAGAGAGGGCAAAGGGAAGGAGCTTGTGGGGGTAGCTGTGTGTCACAGAGACCTAGCCACCACTACCCCCCCCACCGCCCCCAGAGGCCAGAGAGGGGATGTGACCTGCTCACATCATATGGTGTGTAGTTGGAAGGGCTTGGGGCTGACATCTACATTTCCATAAGATTAATCCGATACTTATTGTCACTGTTACTAAATTGGTAATTAATGAATCTGAATATTTTACTATCTCAGTTCCATTTTCTCAGCCAAAATAGAAGCTCCCTGAAGGCAGGGACAATTCAGGCTCTTCAAACTCCCAAGGCCCTGGGTGCATAGAAGACCTCTARTAGCCCAGCACAGGGAGGATCAGGGCTAGCCTCCCTCCCTTGCCCCAGCCTCAGGGCCAGGCCCAAGATAGAAAAATTCTCTCAAGACCCTATCAGAAACCAAAGAGGAACCTCTCTGCCACCTCCCTTCCTCTGGCACTGGTACAGGGACAAGGCACATGCACTGGCTGAGCTTGTAGAACCTCCGCTTCCCCCATGCCATCGAGATAGCCACGGACATCGCACCTCCCAACATCACCCTCCACCCCAGTCTGGCTGTGTCAGCTGGTCCCCAAGCTGCCAGAGACAGGACTCAGAAGGCTGTCCTGCTCCCAGGGCCGTCAAAGCCACTCTCCTTCCATCCTGGTGCTGCCAGTGCTGAGCTCAGTCCAAAGCACCCCATGGGCCTGGGCAAGTCGCGTCAGGGCCCAGGTGCCTCAGAGGGCATGGCCCCGAGGATCTGATCCTGTGGGAGCCAGGCAAGATGACGTGTGGCTGGCCCAAAGTGCTGCCTACCTTCTGTCTTTCTGTCCAGCTGGTAGTAGGCCTTCTGTGAGGATGCTATGGCCTCAACTTGTTTAACTCCTGCCCTCCCCCTTGCTAGTGACTCAGACTTGTCTTTACCTCCCCAAGGGGCGGGGCAGGCCAGCAGTGGCAGAGTCAAGATGGGAAATAATTGTGCTCAGAAGCTGGCCCCAGTGCATGCCCCTCCCTGCTGGCCAATGGAACTAGCAGAACCAGTCTGGTATCCTGATTCCACCAGAGCCCTACCTGGGCCTGGCTGCTCCAGCCCTCCTTCCGGTCTTAGTGGGAGGGGGACCTCCTGGTGTGGCCAGGCAACCCTGCCTGGACTTTTCTTCTAGGAGGAAGGTGGGCATCTCTGCACACCTCTGCAGGAACTGGGGTGGGAGAGGGGCCAGAAACAAAGGGAGGTGCCTTGACCTCCTCCCCCTAGAGTTTGAGGGGACAAGGTAGGGAAGAAGAGGGGGCAGAGTGAAGGCAAGGGAGTCCGGAGGGGGGAGGAAAGGCAGTCAGGAGGAGCAGCTGGGAGCCCTGCCAGCCGTGTTACAAGCAAAGGGTTTTATCGAACACAATATGCCCAGGAATAAAAGGGAGTGAAATAGAAACCCCGCTGCCGATAAGGCGCAGCGGCAGCCCCAGGCAGCTTGTATGGAATTACTGCAGTGACCTTGAGCCAGACCCTGTCAGGTGGAGGGAAGGACACTGAGAAGCCAGGACTTGGGAGGCCAATTCAGATGGGGCAGGAGGCAGGAGGGGACAGGTAGAGGGGGTGAGTAGGCTGGGATGGGACGGCGGGGAGGGTAGGGGTCTACACACGACTCAGGAGAACTGGGGGTCCGGGGCTTCTCAGGGTCTGCAGGATGGGAATGGGGAGAGACCTGGAGAGAGTCCCAAAAGTCAGCACTGTGTAAGCAGATGGCATCCCCAGAGTGGGGTTCAGAGAGATGGGCAGAACCTAGATCTGTCCAGTCACATGCACAAGTTTGCTCAAGTCTGCATGTGCCCCTCCAGCCAGCAGCCCCTCCCCATCCTCTACTCCCCTCGGTCCAGCGTGAACACGGGAGGAGTGGCAGGACCTTTCTTTTGCTGGAGGGACAGGAGAGTGATGCTAGCCCTAAGCTTCTGTTGGTTTTGTCAGCTCTGGGGCAGCTGTGTGCTGGGGGCACTGGAGTGGGCTGAGGGTCACCCTGGGGGTAGACGTGCAGCAGGAACCCAGGAAGAAGGACCAGCAGAGATGTGCCAGAATTTGTGAGGAGTGCCACCAAAGATGCTAGATGCCACCAAAGACATTAATCCCGGGATGGAGAGGGAGACCCTGAGTCTTTCCCGGGGGGTGACTCGGAGGGACAGGGGACACAGGTAAAAAGCTTTCAAGTCCTCTACAGCCCAGCCCTGTCCTTTCTAGCACCTGGGAAAGAGACCAAGCCCCAAGCCCACTCTGCCCCACCTGTCATGGAGGGCTCTTCTGCTGCCAGGGAAGGAGCTTACCTCCAGCGCGGGCTCCCTCAGCCCCAGCCCGAGCAGCCTCTGCAGTGACCCTCTGACCAGCAAGGCAGGGGGATGGCACAGCCTTGGGAGTGGCTCCAGAGCCATCCACCATGGACCCTCGACCCCAAGACCCACCCTCTCCCAGGAGGCACAGACCCCTCAGAAGGGTGGTGGCAGGGTCCCCCAATAGGCTGCAGCTCTGCCTCTTGTCCGTTTGCCTCCTAGAGTCTGGCCAGCCCGCAGCACTCAGGATGAAAGTTGCTCGGCTGGCCCGGCAGGTCTGCCTCAGCAGTAACAGGACACAGGAGGACGCAGGGCAGGCGGTGTGTTAACCCCTTCCTGCTGCCTCCAGGAGGGCGGGGCATTCAGAGAGAGTCCTGCCTGCTGGTGATCCCCCAGGGTGCGGATCTGGAGCCAGGGACCTACTCCCATCCCACAGTGAGTTAACCCTTCCCTTACCTCCTCAACAGGAAACAGGGGTGGGGGCTCCCCAACACCCCCATCACACCACACCCCTTCTCCTCTAGAGGACATTAAAGTGGAGGGCAGGACCATTCCCTGGGGCTGTCCCTTGGTGGGCTTCTAGCCGGCTTCCTCAGCCACTCTGAGGGGCTTCAGGACTCTCCAACTGAGCACCCTGCCCTCTCTGAACCTCCTTCTCTCAGGTCTCAACTGGAGGGTGCTGGAGGCCATGAGGTCATTATCAGAAACACCAAATGTGAATATGAGGGGCTTTGAGCCACTCCTGAGTCTCCCACCCACACCTGTCTTGCCCCATCAGCACATCAGACCACAAGCCCCTCTGCCACAGTTCAGGGAGTGATCCTCCAATCTCAGGAGCCTGTGGCCCACTCCACACAGGAGCCCTGCCCACATGGGTGTCACCCTAGAAAACCCTGTGGTGCTGGGTCTGATCAGGGACCTCAGCTCATTTCACATCTTCTATACAGGGAAGGTAGTATGAAGTCAGGCCAGCTGCTTTAACATAAAGCGGGGAGAAAACAGATTCCAGAATCTCTGGCTGAAGACAAAGGGGTCTGCCCTCCAGGGTCTAGGAGGTGTGGTAGTGTCTTCTTGGGGACTGGACTCTGAGGCCAGCTGAAGTGGGAGATCTCAAGGAGCCAGGTCCCATGGGCTCTGCTTCTCCTAATCTCACACTTTATCACACTTGGTGATGACACTTTGGAAGACCTGGCTCCAAGAAGCATGGTCCTTTTTAGAACCAAGACAGACTGGAGCAGGAACTACGAAAGTGACGCTATCTGTCCTGTCACCTGATTTCATTCCTTGTCCTGCTACCAATTTTTGCCTCTGTTCATGCTCTCTATATTACCTCCCGGGTGGGGATGGCTCCAGGAGCAGGGCAGAGGGGAATCAGGGGGCAGGTGGGCCATGGGAGCACCTGGGCCATGAGCTGACCTCACTGAGATCCAACACCAAGACACAGAGGCACAGGGGAAGTGGTAGAAGCCTAAAGGTTCTTTATTAACTTATCAGCCAGTTTCCCAGGAGGATACATGGGCCCGAGAGTCAGCTGCAGAGATGCAAAGATTCCTCAACATTCTTTATGGGGCTGAGCTCGTCAGCCAAGATCATCAGGTCAGTCACTAGGACATTCAGCAGTTCAAAGACCTGGAAGAACAGGACAGATGTCACAGGCAAGGGCTTGCTCTGTGGAGACCTGACAGAAAGGTGGCTATTAGTCAAGAGATGCTAGAAGAGATGGAGAGAGGAGAACCAAGTTCAAGAGTTTCTATAGAATTTCTGTTTTTTGCAAACAATTTTATTTTTTAGACCTACTGGGGGGAGGTAATCCTGCCCCAGGGGCTCTGGGAGCCTACAGATGTTAAAAGGGCAATTTCAGAGAGCCTAGGGAGCAGCACCCATTAGCCCCTCAAGGGTGGGGCTAAGCTCAGTCTCAATTCCACTCCTACCTCCCTGGAGGCCAAATTGTCTTCCTGTAAGATCATAGATGCAGATACTGAAAGGAGTCCAAGACTGTCCCCCACTAGGCTGGACCACACAAGCCTAAGCAATTTGATTTTTAATATCAAAGAGCTAAGGAAGAGTTTGCCCCACGAGTTCTCAGAGCCCTTTAATTCCTTTCTAGACCCCATCAATCATCGGAAATCTCAGTAACGTCACCAGCAGCAATTGGAACTTCTGATCAAATGAGATCTGGAGTGCTACCACAGTGCACAGTGATGTAAGCCTCACTCCCAACTGTCCACATCAGAGGAAGAGAAAGCACCACTACAGACTTGCTGACACAGCCAGCTGGCTTTGTGGCTGTCCCTCCCAAGCAACAATAACAAAAAAAGAAAACAGAACCTAGAACCTAGGACCCGCTGCTTAAAAACAGATCACGATGAAGGCTTTCCTGTGGATGTACCCTTGCTACAGTGTGAATGTGACCTGTCCCCTCTGAAATTTGATTCCCAGTGTAAAGGTGTTGAGAGGTGGTGGGACTTAAGTCACTAGACTCCACCCTCGAGAAGGCATAATGTCTTCAGGAGCATGAGAGTTCTAAGCCCAATATGGCGGTGCCTGTGATCCCAACTGCCTAGAAGACTGAGGCAGGAGGATCACAAGTTGGAGACCAGCCTCAGCAACTTAGGAAGACCCTGTCTCTCTCTTTTTTTTTTTTTTTTTTTTTTTTTAATAAAAGGGGNCCCCCCCCACCGCCCCCAGAGGCCAGAGAGGGGATGTGACCTGCTCACATCATATGGTGTGTAGTTGGAAGGGCTTGGGGCTGACATCTACATTTCCATAAGATTAATCCGATACTTATTGTCACTGTTACTAAATTGGTAATTAATGAATCTGAATATTTTACTATCTCAGTTCCATTTTCTCAGCCAAAATAGAAGCTCCCTGAAGGCAGGGACAATTCAGGCTCTTCAAACTCCCAAGGCCCTGGGTGCATAGAAGACCTCTAATAGCCCAGCACAGGGAGGATCAGGGCTAGCCTCCCTCCCTTGCCCCAGCCTCAGGGCCAGGCCCAAGATAGAAAAATTCTCTCAAGACCCTATCAGAAACCAAAGAGGAACCTCTCTGCCACCTCCCTTCCTCTGGCACTGGTACAGGGACAAGGCACATGCACTGGCTGAGCTTGTAGAACCTCCGCTTCCCCCATGCCATCGAGATAGCCACGGACATCGCACCTCCCAACATCACCCTCCACCCCAGTCTGGCTGTGTCAGCTGGTCCCCAAGCTGCCAGAGACAGGACTCAGAAGGCTGTCCTGCTCCCAGGGCCGTCAAAGCCACTCTCCTTCCATCCTGGTGCTGCCAGTGCTGAGCTCAGTCCAAAGCACCCCATGGGCCTGGGCAAGTCGCGTCAGGGCCCAGGTGCCTCAGAGGGCATGGCCCCGAGGATCTGATCCTGTGGGAGCCAGGCAAGATGACGTGTGGCTGGCCCAAAGTGCTGCCTACCTTCTGTCTTTCTGTCCAGCTGGTAGTAGGCCTTCTGTGAGGATGCTATGGCCTCAACTTGTTTAACTCCTGCCCTCCCCCTTGCTAGTGACTCAGACTTGTCTTTACCTCCCCAAGGGGCGGGGCAGGCCAGCAGTGGCAGAGTCAAGATGGGAAATAATTGTGCTCAGAAGCTGGCCCCAGTGCATGCCCCTCCCTGCTGGCCAATGGAACTAGCAGAACCAGTCTGGTATCCTGATTCCACCAGAGCCCTACCTGGGCCTGGCTGCTCCAGCCCTCCTTCCGGTCTTAGTGGGAGGGGGACCTCCTGGTGTGGCCAGGCAACCCTGCCTGGACTTTTCTTCTAGGAGGAAGGTGGGCATCTCTGCACACCTCTGCAGGAACTGGGGTGGGAGAGGGGCCAGAAACAAAGGGAGGTGCCTTGACCTCCTCCCCCTAGAGTTTGAGGGGACAAGGTAGGGAAGAAGAGGGGGCAGAGTGAAGGCAAGGGAGTCCGGAGGGGGGAGGAAAGGCAGTCAGGAGGAGCAGCTGGGAGCCCTGCCAGCCGTGTTACAAGCAAAGGGTTTTATCGAACACAATATGCCCAGGAATAAAAGGGAGTGAAATAGAAACCCCGCTGCCGATAAGGCGCAGCGGCAGCCCCAGGCAGCTTGTATGGAATTACTGCAGTGACCTTGAGCCAGACCCTGTCAGGTGGAGGGAAGGACACTGAGAAGCCAGGACTTGGGAGGCCAATTCAGATGGGGCAGGAGGCAGGAGGGGACAGGTAGAGGGGGTGAGTAGGCTGGGATGGGACGGCGGGGAGGGTAGGGGTCTACACACGACTCAGGAGAACTGGGGGTCCGGGGCTTCTCAGGGTCTGCAGGATGGGAATGGGGAGAGACCTGGAGAGAGTCCCAAAAGTCAGCACTGTGTAAGCAGATGGCATCCCCAGAGTGGGGTTCAGAGAGATGGGCAGAACCTAGATCTGTCCAGTCACATGCACAAGTTTGCTCAAGTCTGCATGTGCCCCTCCAGCCAGCAGCCCCTCCCCATCCTCTACTCCCCTCGGTCCAGCGTGAACACGGGAGGAGTGGCAGGACCTTTCTTTTGCTGGAGGGACAGGAGAGTGATGCTAGCCCTAAGCTTCTGTTGGTTTTGTCAGCTCTGGGGCAGCTGTGTGCTGGGGGCACTGGAGTGGGCTGAGGGTCACCCTGGGGGTAGACGTGCAGCAGGAACCCAGGAAGAAGGACCAGCAGAGATGTGCCAGAATTTGTGAGGAGTGCCACCAAAGATGCTAGATGCCACCAAAGACATTAATCCCGGGATGGAGAGGGAGACCCTGAGTCTTTCCCGGGGGGTGACTCGGAGGGACAGGGGACACAGGTAAAAAGCTTTCAAGTCCTCTACAGCCCAGCCCTGTCCTTTCTAGCACCTGGGAAAGAGACCAAGCCCCAAGCCCACTCTGCCCCACCTGTCATGGAGGGCTCTTCTGCTGCCAGGGAAGGAGCTTACCTCCAGCGCGGGCTCCCTCAGCCCCAGCCCGAGCAGCCTCTGCAGTGACCCTCTGACCAGCAAGGCAGGGGGATGGCACAGCCTTGGGAGTGGCTCCAGAGCCATCCACCATGGACCCTCGACCCCAAGACCCACCCTCTCCCAGGAGGCACAGACCCCTCAGAAGGGTGGTGGCAGGGTCCCCCAATAGGCTGCAGCTCTGCCTCTTGTCCGTTTGCCTCCTAGAGTCTGGCCAGCCCGCAGCACTCAGGATGAAAGTTGCTCGGCTGGCCCGGCAGGTCTGCCTCAGCAGTAACAGGACACAGGAGGACGCAGGGCAGGCGGTGTGTTAACCCCTTCCTGCTGCCTCCAGGAGGGCGGGGCATTCAGAGAGAGTCCTGCCTGCTGGTGATCCCCCAGGGTGCGGATCTGGAGCCAGGGACCTACTCCCATCCCACAGTGAGTTAACCCTTCCCTTACCTCCTCAACAGGAAACAGGGGTGGGGGCTCCCCAACACCCCCATCACACCACACCCCTTCTCCTCTAGAGGACATTAAAGTGGAGGGCAGGACCATTCCCTGGGGCTGTCCCTTGGTGGGCTTCTAGCCGGCTTCCTCAGCCACTCTGAGGGGCTTCAGGACTCTCCAACTGAGCACCCTGCCCTCTCTGAACCTCCTTCTCTCAGGTCTCAACTGGAGGGTGCTGGAGGCCATGAGGTCATTATCAGAAACACCAAATGTGAATATGAGGGGCTTTGAGCCACTCCTGAGTCTCCCACCCACACCTGTCTTGCCCCATCAGCACATCAGACCACAAGCCCCTCTGCCACAGTTCAGGGAGTGATCCTCCAATCTCAGGAGCCTGTGGCCCACTCCACACAGGAGCCCTGCCCACATGGGTGTCACCCTAGAAAACCCTGTGGTGCTGGGTCTGATCAGGGACCTCAGCTCATTTCACATCTTCTATACAGGGAAGGTAGTATGAAGTCAGGCCAGCTGCTTTAACATAAAGCGGGGAGAAAACAGATTCCAGAATCTCTGGCTGAAGACAAAGGGGTCTGCCCTCCAGGGTCTAGGAGGTGTGGTAGTGTCTTCTTGGGGACTGGACTCTGAGGCCAGCTGAAGTGGGAGATCTCAAGGAGCCAGGTCCCATGGGCTCTGCTTCTCCTAATCTCACACTTTATCACACTTGGTGATGACACTTTGGAAGACCTGGCTCCAAGAAGCATGGTCCTTTTTAGAACCAAGACAGACTGGAGCAGGAACTACGAAAGTGACGCTATCTGTCCTGTCACCTGATTTCATTCCTTGTCCTGCTACCAATTTTTGCCTCTGTTCATGCTCTCTATATTACCTCCCGGGTGGGGATGGCTCCAGGAGCAGGGCAGAGGGGAATCAGGGGGCAGGTGGGCCATGGGAGCACCTGGGCCATGAGCTGACCTCACTGAGATCCAACACCAAGACACAGAGGCACAGGGGAAGTGGTAGAAGCCTAAAGGTTCTTTATTAACTTATCAGCCAGTTTCCCAGGAGGATACATGGGCCCGAGAGTCAGCTGCAGAGATGCAAAGATTCCTCAACATTCTTTATGGGGCTGAGCTCGTCAGCCAAGATCATCAGGTCAGTCACTAGGACATTCAGCAGTTCAAAGACCTGGAAGAACAGGACAGATGTCACAGGCAAGGGCTTGCTCTGTGGAGACCTGACAGAAAGGTGGCTATTAGTCAAGAGATGCTAGAAGAGATGGAGAGAGGAGAACCAAGTTCAAGAGTTTCTATAGAATTTCTGTTTTTTGCAAACAATTTTATTTTTTAGACCTACTGGGGGGAGGTAATCCTGCCCCAGGGGCTCTGGGAGCCTACAGATGTTAAAAGGGCAATTTCAGAGAGCCTAGGGAGCAGCACCCATTAGCCCCTCAAGGGTGGGGCTAAGCTCAGTCTCAATTCCACTCCTACCTCCCTGGAGGCCAAATTGTCTTCCTGTAAGATCATAGATGCAGATACTGAAAGGAGTCCAAGACTGTCCCCCACTAGGCTGGACCACACAAGCCTAAGCAATTTGATTTTTAATATCAAAGAGCTAAGGAAGAGTTTGCCCCACGAGTTCTCAGAGCCCTTTAATTCCTTTCTAGACCCCATCAATCATCGGAAATCTCAGTAACGTCACCAGCAGCAATTGGAACTTCTGATCAAATGAGATCTGGAGTGCTACCACAGTGCACAGTGATGTAAGCCTCACTCCCAACTGTCCACATCAGAGGAAGAGAAAGCACCACTACAGACTTGCTGACACAGCCAGCTGGCTTTGTGGCTGTCCCTCCCAAGCAACAATAACAAAAAAAGAAAACAGAACCTAGAACCTAGGACCCGCTGCTTAAAAACAGATCACGATGAAGGCTTTCCTGTGGATGTACCCTTGCTACAGTGTGAATGTGACCTGTCCCCTCTGAAATTTGATTCCCAGTGTAAAGGTGTTGAGAGGTGGTGGGACTTAAGTCACTAGACTCCACCCTCGAGAAGGCATAATGTCTTCAGGAGCATGAGAGTTCTAAGCCCAATATGGCGGTGCCTGTRATCCCAACTGCCTAGAAGACTGAGGCAGGAGGATCACAAGTTGGAGACCAGCCTCAGCAACTTAGGAAGACCCTGTCTCTCTCTCTTTTTTTTTTTTTTTTTAATAAAAGGGGCTATGGATGCAGCTCAGTGGTAGAATGCTTGCCTAGTGTGACCAAAAGCCCTGGGTTTTCCCAGTACTGGCRGGTGGGTGAGCTCTCTTGGGACTGGATTGGTTATAAATGAGACTCCTGTGTTTTGCCTTCTTGCCATTTGGCTTTCCACCATGAGTTGAAGCAGCGAGGCCCTTGCTGGCACCAGGTTCTTAGACTGCCCAGTCTTCAGACTGTGAATCAAAAATGAACTTTTTCTTTGTAAGTCACCCAGTCTGTGGCACTTTGTTATAGCAATAGAGAGACAAAGATGATCCTGTGTAGTTTTCTCCCAAGGAACCTGTCTGCCAGGGTGCGCATAAAGGCAGCGGTAGAAGTGGCAGAAAGAGAAGTGCTTCCTTGTTCTCTGTTCCCTTGGAGTCTGTTTCCTGACAGCAGCCAGAAGGACCTTCTAAAGCCTAAGCCATACCATGTTGCTCCTCCATTCAAGATACTGTGTGATTTCTCAGTCTCTCAGAGAAAATCCTGAGTCCTCCCAATAGGCAACAAAGTCCCATGTGGCCACCCCATGTGCCTGCCAGTGGCCACTCCGCTGGCCTGCTCCCTCCAATGCAAGAGTTGCTTCCTCTGCCTAGGACACATTTCTAGCTACCCTTCACCCTTCTTCAAGCCTTTCTATGGTGTCACCTTCTCAGGGAGGCCCCTGCCCCTGGCAGACCCCAATTCATGGTCTTTGTCACAGTGCTCATCTCCTGACATGCACGCATGAGGGCAGCCTTACACTCTGGGATGCCCCTCATGAGGCAGCTCTGCCTCCATCACTGATGGAGCAGGAGCTCATTTGGGGAATAAATGGAATGAATGATGCAGGGGGAGGGAGATGTGGGGGAGGGGAGGCTGGCTACTGGGCTCCTCCCTTCACCTCCGTGTGCATCCTCCGCATATATTTCTCCTTGACCAGGGGATCTATGGGTTCGTGGGAAGGAACGGTGCTGTCAGGGGCAGGGTCGTCGGAGGAAAGCCTGTCCCGACTTGAAGATTTCAGTATTTTCTTGTCATCCTTTGCCTTCTGCTTCTTGCTGTTGACACGGTCCTGCTTGGAGAGATGGAGACACACACACAGCCTTCAGGAGCTCCCAAGGTAGGGCGGGTAGGTTTTCCACATCGGTTCCCTAGGAGCTGGGCCTTGTGCTGGRGAGACCTCCAGGTTCCTGCCACCCCTTGGACGCCCTCCCCAGACCCTAGACCGTGTTCCACATGCCTCTTTCCCTGCCATCCTGGCTCCTTTTTTGTCCTCTTTGTCTCTGATTCCCAGTTGCTTCTTTTCCTGCATTGCTCCTTTTCGGCCTTCTGTCTCCTTCCCAATTTTTCCAGCTGTCGTCTTCACTTCCGTGATGGGAGGTGATTTTCGATCTAAGGGGAGTGAGTGGAAGAACATGTAGCAGGCCCCCTGCGGTCTAGCTGACAACACAGGCCTGTGAGGGGGCTGGGAATGAGATGGAAAAGCAAAGGGTGAGGCTTTGAACCCTCTTCTCAGAGGCTTGGAGAGAATTCCCATAGGTTGAGAGCAGAAGCAGGCACCACTTCCCTGAGCTCCTTTATTCAGGYATGTGACCTTGTGGTACAAGATTGTGGGGCAGGGGCAGAAGGCCTAGGTTCTAGCCCCAGCTCCACCATGCCCCACGTATGGCCACAGACAGGTCATTTAAATTTTGGGGACTCTTCCTGCAAAATTGGGGGACTTGAATGAAGGCGATCATTAAGGTAGCTTCTAAGCCCCAAATCCTGGCAGCAGACAGAGGATACCATATGCCTACTCCATGGCCAACCTAGCAGAGTGCCCACCAGAGGGTTACAAATAGCCAAGGTACAACTGCTGTCTGGGTAGAGTGCTGGGGAAGACTGCTTGTGCTGCTCAGTGTCTGACCTTGCTCTTCTGGAACATCCAAATAGACAGTCTCCTTCTCAGGCAGGCCTAGCAGAACCCTTAGCCACAGGGAGTGGCTCACCAGGCTGTCAATTGCATCTCGCCACAGCTGCAAACTAGAGGGCAAGATGTGTTGGAGAAAAACCACCACTCCCCACTTGTCCTTGAATCTGCAGAGTCTTAGGTGACTCCCTTCAAAGACCTTAGTGCCAGGAACTACCATGGAAATGCCATGCCACCAAGCAGACGGCATCCTCACCAGTACTGTGCCAGTGCTCAGATGGGAGTCTGGCTTCCCTGGGGCAGCAGCCAAGAAAAGATGGCCCAGGACTGGGGTTGGAGGCCTCCCTGAATCCCATCCTACTTCAGCATCTAAACTATAGTTTGGGGCTACAGTGGGCCCACCCCACTGGAGGGGCTGAGCCTTGCAAGAGTTTTTTAGCATGAGGCTCCTGGGGCTGTATTCTGAGAGCCTTGCAAAAGGCCCCCAYGCCCACCCAAGCAGCTGCCAGGCAAGAGAGAAGTGAAGCTTTTACTGGGATCTTTTTTCATTCTTCTACTCATTGAGAAGGAACAAGAGGGGGCTGGGGATGTGGCTCAAGCGGTAGCGGTAGCGCGCTCGCCTGGCACGCGTGCGGCCTGGGTTCGATCCTCAGCACCACATACAAACAAAGATGTTGTGTCCGCCGAAAACTAAAAAAAAAAAAAATAAACATTAAAATTCTCTCTCTCTCTCTCTCTCTCTCTCTCTTTAAAAAAAAAAAAGAGAGAGAGAAGGAACAAGAGGAGGAGGAGGACAAGGCAAGGTTTGTACTCTGCAGCACTTGCTCCCCAGGGAGCAGAGGCAGCTGTGGAGCTGCTGTGGCAGGTCCTAGAACATTCTTCAGCAATCTGAATTTAAGGGATGTTCAGCCCCTTCAGTCCAGGAACTCCCTGACAAATGTCACCAAGGGAAGAGGGACATGGGGAGCGGGGGCTACCACAGCTGGTGCAGGAGGTTGGACTGCAATGGCTTCTGCTCCTGGCACAGCTCCAAGGCTGCCTTGTTGAGGCTGATCAGGGCATCCTCTTTCTGGTGGTCTTCTGGAAGCTTCATCACTGCCTGGTGAGGGGCATGCGCACCATGGGCAACTGTTCTGCCCTGGTACAATGGGGGTTCCTGTATCATCTAGTGATGAGACAGGTGGCTGAAGAATCAGGAGCCATGAACTCTAAGGTGCCTTTTGTGGCACCTGGAACCTCCCCCAGAAATCTGTCATGAACCCCTTCTCTGAGGTTTGCCAGGTCACAGAAGGAGCCCTTCCTACACCAAAGCTTCCTGAGGATCCCAGGGGAAAAAGTTGTGTCAAAAGATCACTTTTTCTGGGCCCTCGGAAGGTTCACTCACTCTGCCCATGAGGTGATGGAGCTAATTGGTTTGGGGCAAAGAGCAGTGTGCCCAGCTGTCTGGGGCCATTCTCCACTAATCCCTTCCAGGTCTCAGACACACCTTTCTGAATTCCTTCAGGCAGAGGTTCCACTCAGTCAGGGGGACACCTGGCGGCTCGCAAGGGCTCCATGTGCTATCCACCTCTGGGATCTCCACCAGGATCTCCTCCATGATGCTCTTCCTCTGTGAAATCTTGGTCCCCACTCTAGTCTTCTGGAACGTGGAGTAATCTCGAAAGTTGCTGTGGGCCTCATTCTCATGCCGGGATGGTTGAGGCTCCCTGACTGGGTTCCTGAAGTTTGTCATGTTGTCCACATTTGACGACTCCTTYTCCAGATGGGCAGATGGGGTCACTGGCACCCTGGGGCTCAGGTGCTCTTCCTCACCTGCCCGGGCTTCCTCAGACTTGGCAGACAGGATCCTGCACTGGTTCCACAGTTGATGCAGGTTTTGTACCACATGGTGCTGGTAATACAGCTGCAGCAGAGGAGCCGGATGACAGCAGAGAGTGAGTGGCTGAGGCCAGGGGGACTCCCCCTCCCACTCCCCCTCCAGCCTTCAATTTAAAACTTTTTTTGGCKGGGAGGCTTCCAAGAAAGTCTGGGTTTGGATGAAAGAATCTGTGAGGCCCTGTCCCTACCAAGCACCCACTTACTAGCTATCTCGGGCACATTCCCTAATCTGTCTGGGTCTCAGTTTCCTCAGTATAAAATGAGGATATAAGAGTACCCACATTTTCTCATAGGACTGGTGTAAGGAGAAAGTGAGTTACTTGTGTCCGGCACACAGATGGGTTTGGTCCCAAAACTGCCCAGGGCACACGTGGTGCCACCCCGTACGTGAGGATTCCTATGGCAGAACAACTCCTCCTCAGTGAGATAGGCATCCACGGGTGAAGGCATGCGCTCCGGGGTCAGGATCCCCCTCAGCAGCTCCTGCAGCACATCCTTCGCTATGGAGACTGCATCATGAGTGGCCAGCTTGCTCTGAGGAAGGGAAAGTGGCATAAGGTGGCAGCCCAGGCTCCCAGCACCCATGCAAACTTGAATGAAGCCAGATCCCTGGGACTGTGGCTTCTTCGGGTCAAAATTCCTGCTATTATCTGTCTTACACACGTACCTGTCCCAAGCCTCAAAACTCTTTTGGTCTTCCCACACCTCCTTGTTCCCTAACAGAGGATACAAAGGGTCCAGAGGAGGCCACTCCTGGGGGACAGCTGCTCCTGAATGGTATCTGGATTTCCCCAAGATGAAGCAGAAGGGACACTTCTGAGAACTGGGGGTGGCAGTTCCCAGTTCCCATCTCATACTTACTAGGATRTTGGCTTATGGGGTGAGGTGTTGAGGTAAGCTATTTAAATTGTMATCTCTGGTTTGGAAGTCTTGTCTGTTAAATGCCACTCCACTGCACAGTACCAGACAGCAGTGAACAAAAGACAGCATTGGCACAGAGGGTCACATGATCTGTTTGCACTCCAGGGAATACCCTGCGCAGTCTGCGTCTTAAGGCACCGTTTCATCTCTCACTCAGTCGGGGCCCTGCGTGGCTGCTGCGAGCAGCCCCTCCTCTAGCCTGCCTGCCTCATCTTCTATACACAAAACTCTGGAAAGTATTTAAGCAAGAGTAGGTACCCGTTTGTGAAAAATTAACTTATTGGGCTGGGAGAAATAAGATCCTTYCAGGCACAGCCAGAAAGAACACCAGAGTAACCTATCTGATGTCCCCAGGGGCCAACGTTCCAGGTCCCTTACCTCCAGCAACTTCCTCTCATCCTTAAAAATGTCCTGGGCCAGGGAGACTGCGTGGAGGTTGACCTGCAAGAGCGCCCCTCCCAGTAGGGTGGGATGAGTTTTGAACTCCCAACATTCCCTGAAGATGCCAGCACTCGAAGACTTAAAGAAGAAGGTGAAGTTTTTCGTTTCCCCAGGCAGAATCACACCTGGGAGGTAGAGACAGGTTTCCAAGGAGGAGGTGCTAGTTGAGCCCTAAGTTCACAGGTAGAAGTTTAACTAAGCCCTAAGCTAAACACATGCGGTTAACTAAGGTCCAGGTCTGGTGACCAACCATCCTGGTTGGCCCAGGACTGAGAGGATTCTTGAAATATGTGACTTTGAGCTTGAAATCTTGGAATGTTCTAGGCAAGCAGGGATACTTGGTGATCCTAGCCCCAGGCCTATGCATGTAGATAACTGAGCCCCTAGAATATTCCTGCTCCCAAGTGGCTCACCTTCCTGTGTTCTCAAGAGACCCATCACTCTCAACAGATAGAAATAGTTAGACCACACTGGTCACAGAAGAAACAGGAGGGACAAGCTTGGGAGTTGGGACTCCAGCTTGTGGTAGCTGGGTACTAACTAGATGTTGTCGTCTCCCAGACACGGAGCCAGTGAGGAGGGAAGCTTCTAGGTACCTTCCCGGATGTTAAAGTAAAACTGCTGCATCCTGTCTCTCTTCAAGTGTTGGAAAGAGTCCAGCTGGGGCAGCCGTCGCCAATCGTACCAAATGGCCACAGTGCCATTATTGACCACAGTCAGCTCTGAAGATGTTTTCTCCCCTTCAAGGGTTTCGAAAGTCAATCGAACACCAATTCCTATTTGCCTCTGGGGAAGGAGGAGACACAAGGGTGGTCTACGCTGGAGGCCCTGGGTTAGGGTGACCATTTCCTCCCCGTTTGCCTTTGACTTCTCTTGGCATAACAACCAAAGTCCCATGTTTCAGGCCTCCAGGGCCCATAGCCTCAAAGTAGTGTCATACCCCAAGAGTGGCTGTCTCTGAGGTCACTATCAATAATACAAAGAGAATTTCTACCCCATGAACATTTCTGCTCCTTAACATTAGAATAATGTTTTGGAACTTTCTGGAAGTCCCATCTCTGTGAGAGAGTTTGTTTATTTACCTGGTGGATCAGGGTACAAAGTAGGTAGCTTGTGATTTTATTCTTGCTCAAGTAAGTGTTGCTGTTAACATTTTCAGACATGCTGAGTATGACCAGATAAAAACCCAAAATAGGAGACCATGAAGGCTCCTTGTGAATGTCACAGTCACCTTGGGCCTGCACCCATGAGAGTCCCTTCCAGCAGGTGAGTGAGGTGAGGCAGTTTTACCTTGTCCTGCGGGTTGCTGCCTCTGATCCAGCAAGCTGGCTTCCCACAGAATAGCAGTGAAGGGCCGAGAACAGGCATAGAGTCCGAATCAGGGCAGTTGTCCACTAAGTCTCTGTAAAAATCAAGGACTTATTCACCTGTAGGCCGCACACTCAGGCCACATGGAACCCATGGAGATGATTGCCAAGCAGTCTGGGGACATGACTGGCTGTGCCTTGCAGTACAGCGTGATCAGTCCTGCTCCAGCCTAGCTTCTTTCCAGGCCCTCCTGCCAGAGCCCTTCTCTTTGAACAGCAATGGGAGGGGCTGGAAGGCCCTTTTAACCTGGAAGCCCCCACCCAAGTTGTTAGAAAAGAGCAGATGGCAACAGAAAAGCTAGCACAGGTGTGGGGAAGCCTATGGCTAGAGGAGTGGGTGGAGCCACTAGTGAGGCAGGCATGGAGACACCCTGATTGCAGGGAGAGAAGCCTGCCATTCAGTACTTGTGGCTACCCAGGGAAGCCACACTCTTCAGCCTCCTCCCTGGGGTGCAGGCCCCACTCACAAGCGCACTTTGTCTTCAGGGGGGCTTTCCAGGAGCCTTTCRAACACTGTACGGTCTTCCACCGTGACAGATGAGAATGGCTGCCCTCGGCCCACCACCTCCAGGCCATCAATATCCTCAGAGGGACAGAGAAAGGACACATTAGCTGACTGAAGACAGGTACCACCCCAAGGGACCTCACACTGGGCTTGGAGGCTCTCCCAACCTGCTGGCTAAAATCCAGCTCAGCCAGGATACTCTGCAGCTCCTTGCGTCTGTAGATTAGAAACAGACTCCGATCCCAGGTATAGCGGTACCACGCATCCTTCTGGGCTGGCAGTCCTAAAGTGGGGTCCAAGGACACTCAGCAGGGCTGCTGTCACACCCCTTTCCCCATCCACTATTCAAGGCCCATGAGAACACCCATTTGACACCATTTCTGAAAAAGGTGAAAAACTACAGTTTTCCTGGGGCAGCCAGACTCCTGCCCCAGAGCTCCCCAGAAGCCCTGGAGACCCTAGGAGATTAGTTTCCAAAGAGCCAAATCTTTGGTTTACAATAAGAAGAACAAGAGCAGCTACCTTTTACTGACAATGAGCCAGAATTTCTTAATGTGCATAACTCATGTCTCCTCTTTAACCCTCTCACAATGCTATCATGAGTATTCTGCAAATAGGGACCTGAGGGCCAGAGGGTCAAATTCCTCAAGGGAATTCAGAAACCCAACCCAGCTGGGATCTCAACCCAGGCAGGCAGGCAAGCTCTCAAACAGGGCTGCAAACAGAACACCACAAACCACACAAGCAAGCCATGGGTCAGATCAAATGTCCTTGATGCCATACTGCAAAGGTAAAGAGATAAGCTTCATCCTAGTAATATAGTCTATTTAATTCAATATGTCAAAACTATTATTATTATTTTGATTAGCTGAATTTTGATTATTGTTACTGCTTTATTTGTGAAATACTCACAGACTTACAGAAAAGCAGGGAGTACAGGCAAATCCTCATTCCTACACCATGGGGGGAGAAATAACTGACCAAACGCCTCTTACCCCAGAATACTTTTATTTGGTGTGTGGTGGGGTACAGATAGTAAGGATTAAACCCAGGGTACTCTACCACTGAGCTACAATACTAGCACTTTTTATTTCTATTTCTTTTTCTGTGATAGAATCTTGTTAAATTGCTGAGGTTGGCCTCCAACTTGCAATCCTCCTGCCTCAGCCTTCTGAGTTGCTGGGATTACAAGCATTTGCCACTGTGCCCAACTGCCTCAAAATATTTCTGTGTGCATTTCCTAAAGCAAGGACATTCCCCCTTGGGATCACACTCCACAGTGAAATCAGGGAGCTGACCTTAATAGATAACTCACATCTTACTCTCCCTCCCCATTCAAGTTTCGACAACATTCAGACTCCATACATCCAGCAGTCATGTCACTTCAATCTTCTGTCTGGAACATTCCTCGGTCTTCCTTTAACTCTCTTGACCTTGACACTTCTGGGTGTTGTAAAGCAGTCCCTCTGTTTGAGTTTATCCACTATTTCCTCAYAAATGGATTCATATTGTGCATCTTCAGTACTTTTTTCCCTTTTGCATAATGACAGAGCAAGAGTTGGGGGAAGCTGGCAGCTGTTCCCCTGAGGGCATCTAGGCTGGAAGAACCCCCCCCCCAGGCACTCAGCCAGGATCTTCCTTAAAATCCCTTGCACCATCCTGAAACGTGCTRGGTGTGTGTGATTCTGGGGCGAGTTTCCACCAGCCTAATTCCCCAGGAGACTGAACATCACCGCAAATCCATCAGGTCAGAAAAAATCTAGAGGGAGGCCCTTGCGACTGGCAGCGCAGCTGTGTTGAGCAGCATCTTTTTAATCACCTTCTGGCCCAGAGATCTGGCTGGAACGTGGATCCAGCCGTGTCCCRTGGGTCACTGGGGCTGCCACCATCCTTTCCTCATGGAAATGTCCTGGAGGGTGCTGGCTCCAGGAGGTGTGAGAGCCCATCCTTACTCGGGCTGCTCTCTGCTCCTCCTCAACCCGGTAGCCCCAAGCCCGCCCGGCACATGGATTATCAAAACTATTATCATTCCACCATGTAATCAATATAAAAMTTATTAATAAAATATACTTTTTCAAACTAATCTTCAAAACCCGGGGTGTGTAGGTTGGGTGTAGTTGTGGCAGGCCTGTAATCCCAGTTGACTTGAGAGGTTAAGGCAAGAAAAATCCCAAGGTCAAGGCTAGGCTGGGCAATACAGCAGGACTCTTGTCTCAAAATAAAAAAATAAAAAGGGCAGGGATGTAGTTTAGTGGTAGAGTACCCCTGGGTTCAATTCCCAGACCCAAAATAAATAAATAAATAAACAAATATTTTTTAAAAACTATGAAAGAAAGCAAGCAAGCTGGGTGCAGTTACACCGACAGGGTGCTTTCACTCCGTAGACCAGCCACATTCCAGATGCTCATGGCTGCCAGTGCCTGGAGGCTGCTGCACTAGATAGCACAGCTCTATGGCCCTCACTCCCACCTTGCCCTTTCTGTGATTTCTATCAGGTGTTGAAGGCAGAACTAAACCTCAGGAAGGGTGGGGTCTTGCCCAAGATCACACTGAACCAGGCTTTGGTCCCAGGTCTACCTCAGAGCACGGCCATGCTGGTCGCACCACACTGCCCTGCTTCCCGTGCCAGGTACCAGAAGCCAGGTGGTTCACAGCCCTGCTGCTCACCTGTTTCCACCTGGATGGACCGGGGCTTCCTGATTCGAGCAATGGGTTCCACGAAGCCATGCTGAGTTTTTGTTTTGGTTATGACCAGACCTGTCATCTCATCTCCCAAGTATTCCAGTGGACTCCAGAACACACTAGTATCCTTATAGCTCTGGTAAGAAAAGAGAGGACAGTGAGGTTAAGTCAGTGCCTCAGCTGCCAGCTGGTGGGGGGCCTGGGAAAACAGGCACCACCGACTTTTCTCTGAGGAACCTGTTGCTGCCCTGACGGCAAAAGTACCCACTTTCTTGTTTGCAGGATGCCCTGCGGTAGCCTCTACTGACCCCAGAAAGATAATGTAAGCTGGTCCAGGTGCTGGTACTCACTGATGGGGAGTCCAAAGGCAGGAGACTAAGCCTCTAGGAGACAAACACTAGAACTCATAGTAACTCAGTGACAAACTGACTACTGGCGACCACCACAGGCTTAATTATTTAATTGAACAGTCCACAAACATCCACTAACAAAATTTAGTAAAGGTCCCAAGGGCTTTGCAATGCTTTGCAATGCACAGATTATTTTCTCCCCAAGTATGCAACCTGAAACAAGTCATTTCTGCATCCCAACTCCTGACCCCATGGCCCAGCACCGGGCACTTGGGAATGGCCGCCCTTACTTTCCCATCATGTTGTGTTGGAAGTATCCGGTCAATGAGCTCCCGCTCCTCCTGGATCTGTCTGTAGGTGTCCCCGGAGTGCATCAGCAGCTCACTGACAGGCTTCTTCAGATGCTCTTAAGAGTAGGAGGCAAGAATGCAGCTATTAGAATGCACCAAATCGGAACAAATGGGCCCTGGAACTACACAGGGCAGCTGGGCTGGCCAGCCTGATTATAGGACCAATAAACTAAGATTTAGGAGCAGCAAGCTTTTGGGAATGAACAGCACAAATGTGGTCATCATCCAGGATCTGGACAGGTTGGGGGAAAGAAAACACACACACACACACACACACACACACACACACACCAGAGCCTTCGAGCCAAATGGAGACCAGGCAGGAGCCCTGTCCACTCTGCTCACCACTAAGGGCTTCTTGCTGCTTCTTTCTCAGGGTGATGTGACGCTGCCAATTTTTCAGAAAGTTCTGCTGAGGAGGTGGGACCCAGGGATGTCGCTTCTCTTCCTTTGGGTCTTTCTGCTGTGGTTCTTCCTTAGCTGAGATGAGGGTCATCAGACTGGGTGGGATGTGGATCAGCTCAGCCAGCTGAAAGGACAACATGAGCACATGGAAAGCGGTGAGTCGGCCCAAGCYGAAGTTTCCAGACACCTAGGTTCTGCCATTGTCCTGTTCTGCTGAGAATCCCTCTTTAGGACTGCAGGGTGGCAAGTGACAGAAAACAAATCAGAACCTGGAGGCTTTGGGATCAGGCGTCAGCCCCTCCCTTCTTTCCTCCAAAAGGAACCTTGGTTCTGAGGTTGCAGTCATCTTTCAGCATGGCCTCTTCCCCACAACTGATGCTAACTTTTGCCCAGGGAGATGGAGCTGTTTTTACATGTCCCCATACCCCTTAGCACCTGCCCAATGAAAGCAAAGTATCTAAGCAACAGAGAAGCACTGCATGATGAGGAGGTCACTCAGGGAGCAGTGGTAAGCCACCTTCCTCCACCACGGAACTGGGGAGAGCAGCACAGAGTGGCAGAGAGCAATGAGCTGGGCCCTGCATCCCAGTACCTTGGTGGCTTGGCCTATATACACCCATGTCCTCTCCCCCTTCAGGTACATGAGGCAACATCTGTAGCCTGAGAGCAAATCCCTGACTTCAGCTGACACCAGCTTCAACTGGCTTTTGGGACTTGTAACCAAAGTGTCTAAACTACCCCTTGGGGGAGGGTCAATGATTATCTCAGACTTGAGGCCCAGAGATTGGTTTGACTCTTTAGTCCAGGTCCTGCTTGAGTCTCCAGCAGGGAGACTAAAGTGGCTTTGGCGACTTCTCTGAGCCAGGACACAAACGAACCTGGGTGTTCCCTCTAGCAATCGCAATTCTCTTAAAGTCCTGGAGACTCCCCAAGATGTGGTGAGGCAGGATCTGATCACTGCCATCAAAGTGGTCACCTGGACCTGGGGGGAAAAGAGGGGTGGAAAAAGACAAACTATAGGTAGCTGGTGTGACCTACCCAAGGGGCTGCCTTTCTAATGGGGATCCGGCTTTCTTTCAAAGTTGACCCATGAATTCAAAGCCCAGGGGTTCCAGGGTCAAGACTGATCATACCAGAGTAGTCGAGGGGCTTTGTGGCTACTTCTGGATTAGCAGGATGTGCTACTAAGTGGCAGATCTTCCTCCTAGTATCCTTGGGTTTGGGTTTGCGGATGATAAATTTCTGGGAAATGAAAGGCTTGTCCTCTGTTTCAGGAAGGCGAGGACTGTGTTGCTAAAAAGAAACCAAAGAGAGAATTCCACCTGAGAGGAGGCAGTAGAAGAGCAGTACCATCTTCTCTGCCCTGGTTCTTGGTGGAATTCCTGAGGGCTGACCAGTGTGTTTCCCCAGCTCTGTCCAGGAATCGCCGATGTAACAGACAAGAGGCAGAAATGTCTGGAAGGAAAAAATATCTTGATGACTCCAGACAGTTCAGGTGAGAAGTGGCTGCCTCTTTCAGGAAAGGCCTGGGGTTGGGGATCAGCAGCTTCATCTAGATCTCTCTCTTTTCTGAGTCATCCCATTTTCCCATCTGTGAGATGGGGATAGTGTCACGTCCCCTCTGGGAAGCAAGGTATGGCATCATCTTGTCTCCTGTGGTTCTACATGAATCTCAGAAATGTGAAAACAGCTGGGCGCGGTCACAGGCTCAACTCAAGAGGCTGAGGCAGGAAGATCGCAGATTCAAAGCCAGCCTCAGCAATTTAGTGAGGCCCTGTCTCTAAATTTAAAAAAATATATAAAACAGGGCTGGGGATGTGGCTCAGTGGTTAAGCATCCCTGGATTTAATCCCTGGTACCACAAAAGAAAGGAAAATAAAAAAGAAATGTTAAAACAAACAGCACAGTAAAATCCTTTAGATGGTAAAGTGAATAGAATTTGTGTTCAATGGATTTTCCCCAAACCACGAAATGCCCCTGTGAGTAGCGGGCTGCTGGAGAGACCTTGGCATGGCTGATGTTCTAGGTTACACAGGCTGGTAGCAAAATGTCAGCAGCAAGGTACCCATGCACTTTATCCTTACCTTCTTCAAGTCTTCCTTCTTGATGGCTAAGGCAAGAATGTCATCTCCTTGTAGGACATTGCTCACAGGCTCAGGYTCCTCCTGGATGGGGGGTGTGGGCTGTTCGGGTGCCTTGGCCCGCTTCTTTTCTGAAAAGAAGCAAAAAATTGGAAGTGCTCAAAGAGCTTTCTGTACATATAACTATATAAATAAAATTACAAATCCTGGACTAGGAGTGCAGCTCAGTGGTAGGGTGCTTGCCCAGCATGTGCGAGGCAGCTAGGCCCTGGATTCAATTCTAACACTGCAAAAATAAAGTAAACAAATCAATAAATCCATATTAGACTGCATGGTAAAGGCAGAGCTGGCCACCTGGACAGGATAGCAGAGGCTGCCAAGATGGTCTGGATAACACTTGGCTTGGGGTGGGGTTCTCTGCTGGGGGAGGTCCTACCCACTCCCCCAAGCTGGCCCTAGTGGCTGAGACTTCTGTAGCCAGAACTGAGGTTAAATATATATATATATATTCCATTTCTGCTTGTGTTATTTACAAGTTGGACAACCTTGGTGCATATTGCCTGACTTCTCTGGGCCTCCCTCCGTCTTCCATATGTGAAAAGAGGAAAATGGACTAAATCAGTGGTTCCTAAATGTCTGCCTCAGATTCTTCTGGGGAGTTTGACAATTACAGCTTCCTGGGTACTGCTTGCCTGGCCTTAGAGAGCTGTCATTTTTCTTTCTTTCTTTCTTTTTTTTTTTTTTTAAACTCAAGGGAGTTTTATAAATTAAATCCTGGGATTCTGATGCCCAGTGCTTTCTTTGGGACACCTGGGCTAGCTGTTTTCTTAGCCTCTTCCAGAGCTGGCACTGGTCTGTTCTGTATGAAGGCATCGGTTTCTCAAGACACTGGTTAAAATGCAGATGCTCTGGGGGGAGCAGAACATGCACCTCTGACCATCTGTTTCATATTATTTCATTTAAAAATGTGGAGCAGCTTCTTTGTGCCAGGAACTGTGTTGGGTTCTGGGGAGAAACAGCAGGTGTCTTCAAAGGACACACAGCTCATGAGAGACAAGGCTGCCACCTGAGCTGGGGCACTAGGGGGCATCCAGGGGTCCACTGGGTCTGYGGCATGGTCGGGAGAGGCTTCCCAAGGAGGCGATGTTTAAACTGAGGGGGAGAGATGGAGCCCAGTCAGACGAGGGAAATGGAGCTTGGGAAGAGACATTCCAAGGAGCAGCAGGAAGCGGGCTAGGGGCAGGAGGAAAGGGAGCCCCGCTCTGGAAGGCAGCTCGTGTGTTTTAAAATAGCTGGAGAGCAGCGAGGTGGGAGGCAGGAAGCAGAACAGGAGAGGGAAGCAGGAGCCCACCATGAAAAGTTGAGCCAGGCAGAGGACTTTACGTTGTGGTCCACAGCAAGGCAGCRGGATGGGCCAGGATATCTAGAAGCCAACTGCAATAATGAAGTGGTTGACGGTGACAGGGGCTCACAGGACTGGAACAAAGTGGAGAGACTGAAGTGTGCATCTCTCCGGTGGCTACTGGGACACGCTACATGGACATCACATGGGACTCTCCGGTGGCTACTGGGACACGCTACATGGACATCACATGGGACAGAAGATGACCAGGATGCTGCCTGCCTTCCAAGACCTGGCACAAATGTGTTGAGTGTACTGCTTGTTTCTCTGGCTGGTAACCCCGTCCTTTCCCCTCTGGTTCTGAACTGTTTGAAGTAAGGCTCTACACAAAACAATCACAAGAAAACCTAAGCCCCAACTTCAGGGCATTTAAAACAAAATTTGGTTTTATCTACAGTTCTCTAAGTATCCTAATCTTTAAGAGACTATAGCACTAAAATATCAAGGCAGGGGTGTTGGCTGACAAAATCAAACTACCTTTTAAAGAGGTCTACATAGTTGATGGGGTAAGGGGTGGGGAAAGAAAAGCCAGAATCATTCCAAACGTAACTCTGAATTCTGCCCATCAGCCGCAGCCCACGTCCTCCGCTGCAGGGTCTGCAGGAGTTCATGACATCCACACAGACAGGCCTGAGCAGCTCAACCTGAGCTTTGGCCTGATCTGCCTCCATGCGCGGAGATGCAGCATGAGGTTTTGATTTCTACTTCTCTCCCTTCTACACAAACACACCAAAGCTGGTGGCAGCCCACAAGAGAATTAGAACCAGCTGAAAGTCTGCTTTTGTAAATATGTTGGTATCATTCATCTTTTTCAGGACATCTGTTTTTTCTGCCCATCACCTTGGTTGGTCTACATCTTCCTAAGGGATTACATTCTCCAGATGGTGTTTTTCTCTGGTGGCTATAGCATCACCACGTGTAAATACAAACTATCAACGCTGCTGAAGATTTCTGGGGGCCCAAACCCCCATCCCTTGGAGTGATACAGAAACTAATTCTTCATGTTTGGTTGAGATTGAAGTAGTCAGTGAGAATCGGGTCTGAAGTTTTTCTGAGAAAGCTATCTTGATGCAGTACAATAGGGCTCTGTTACTGTACACAGCCAGGAAAGGGTATGTTTCGGTTAATAAAATGGCCATGAAAATGAGATATATATTTTAAAGTTAAATTCATCCTAGAGATGGATCCAAGGACCTTCAATGTGTTATAAATGACGGATGAGATGATATAAAAGGTTACGATATGGCTTCTCCTGTTGAGGGACTGAAAGATGAGTCAGAAGGTAACACAAAGCAATCACAAAACACAAGAGCCTGCCTGAGAAGCCCAGCCAAGAGGTCTGCTTAGGCATCAGAGAAGAACAGAGCCCTGAGGGTCACAGAATTGAAGGCTCTCAAGAAGGTTTGGAGGAACGGTTGCAGAGACAGCTTCCCATGATCCTGAGAACATGGAGGGGGCACATGTGGAGCAGTAAAGAGGCCTGGGGGTGTAGGGCTTGCCTAGCATGTGTGAGGCCCTGCGCTMGATCCCCAGCACTGCAAGAAACAAACACAGAAAGGAGATGTTCCAGGTAAGGCCCAGTCTGAGCTTGGCAGGAGCAGGGATGAACAGGCAAGTGTGGGACATAGTAACACAGAAGCCCTGCTGGGGAGGTGGGGTGCTGCTGGGGAAGAAGGAAGCCAGGGCAAGGCGGCTCTGTGAAGCATGGCTCTGGCATCTACCCTTTGGTCCAGGAGAGTGAGCTGATGACAGTGGCATTTAGAATGATCCATGTCAGAGCGGGATGGAGGGGAGCCAGAGGGACTGCAGGGAGACCAGGGAGGAAGCATGAGCCTCCAGGGGGCTTTTCGAGGCCTGCTGCAGGATGCCCCATGGTGGAGTAAGTCACTACTGACCCCACGCAGGCCCAGCTCTTTCCTCTTCTTTCTTCTGGAAGTGTCGGCTGAGCGGGGCCACTGGTAAGACACAGAGCTGGCCTTTCTCTGCTCTTCCTGAAAGCCTGAGCGGTCAAAGACACCTGCCTTCTTGCCGATGGCAGTCAAAGGACACCTCTGTTAGAGCAAGGAAACTGGAAATGAAGCCCTTAGGCTGGGAGTAGGGATGGGAGAGGAACTAAAGAAGGAGAATTAACCTGAACTCCATTCTTGGCTTGTTTTACCTAAATGTTATTGTTTCCAAGTGCTGAYTAAAGCCTGTGGGAAATTCTGACCTCAGGGTTGCATTGGGGGAAATCAAGGTAGGAGCTGTCCCTACCAGGGTAGAGCTATAATWGGTGGGGGAGGAGGACATGGTGTGACCAGGAGTCTTCAGTGTTTCTTAGAACAAGACCAGGGAAAAACCCCGGGACTCAAAGGGCTCCCAGGTCCCTAAACAGGTTTCCAGTTGCCACATTTGCTTGTCTTTTTGCTTGTGATTCAGAGACCCTGAGAAACAGCACTAGATTATGAGATTATATTTGTTCATTGGCTGCAGCTGCATTATATGGGAGAAAGTACCATCCTACTACATTTGAGGCTTCCCTGAGAACATTCTGGAAAAAAGAAATCTTGCATGTTAATAACTCCCCTCTCCATACCAGGGATTGAACTCAGGGTGCTTAGCCACTGAGCCACATCCCCAGTCCTTTCTATATCTTATTTTGAGACAGGGTCTCACTGAGTTTCTTAGGGCCTTGCTACGTTGCTGAGGCTGGTTTGAACTCCAGATCCTCCTGCCTCAGCCTCCCAAGCTACTGGGATTACAGACATGCACCATGGTTCTGGAAACCACGTTAAAACACTCTTTTTCTCCCTCCTCATTCTGGTGCATGTTCTTAGCTTAAGGGCTATTTTACAAATGAAACCTTCCCCTTATTAAAAACAGATATGCAGTGAAAAATCTTTGTTTACAGCAGGAGTTCAAGTCTGATTAAGATGGTGCAGAAACAGGAGAGCAGGAGGCAATGGCTGGGAAAGCCCTTGACTGCCCTTGGGAAAGCAAACCAGGTATATTTTTTTTCCCCTCTCTCTTAACTATTAGAAAGTATGTCATGAAACAGCATCAGCCTTTTATACTATGAAGAAGCATAAAAGAAAGCTATACTGAAAAGCAACAAGGCTCTTGTTAGTTTTCTGGGCTTCCTGGGGGACCCTACTGCGCGCAGGCCTGCCCCTCTCCTTGCACTGAGCTTTCGCCATGCCAAYGAGGCTGGGTCCCCCGGGGCCTACAAGAGCACACCCAGACTTTCTGACCTCACCTGTAAAGGCCTTTTATGGCCTGGTCCCTGCCTACCAGCACAGCCCCCTCAGGTGCCCATGTTCATAAATCTATGAACTCATGCTTCTCTCTAGACCTAGAGAAACTAACCATTCCTTTTTAATTTTTTTTTCTTCTTTCTTTTCCTTTTGGATCTGCCATAAATGTCACCTTCTTCAGAAAACCTTTCCCCCTTAACTCTACCATCCCAAGTCTGGGTCAGGGGCTGAGCCCCCTTAATCCTCCTGYGTACTAACATCCCAGCCTCTATACTTCTGCATTGTCTGAATCCTCCTCCAGGTCCTCTCTAGAGGGCTGAGGTCACAAACTTCATACTGAGGGAGGATAGAAGAAATAGAAGACAAGTTGAAAAGAGATAAAAGGAAGGAAAACAAGTCTGTGGCTTTAGTCTGAAAGCTTTGGTTAAAGTTTCTCATACCTTCTCTCCACAGGCCCATATCCCTGTAGGCCTGGCCCTCCCCAGTCTAGTTTTTCCCCAAGCCTTTCACTCCCAAATTTCTGGTCAGGCTACAAATCTTCTCTCACAATCTTTTTTTTTTTTTTTTAAAGATTTTATTTATTTATTTATTTTTTTAGTTCTCAGCAGACACAACATCTTTGTTGGTATGTGGTGCTGAGGATCGAACCCGGGCCACACGCATGCCAGGCGAGCGCGCTACCGCTTGAGCCACATCCCCAGCCCCCTCTCACAATCTTAAATCTACTACAAATTCACTTGCTTATCAAAATTGCCTTATACAACGTACTTTTAGAACAGATTAAACAAAGGGAGACATATTTTAAGAAACCTACAGAATAGGGTACTTTTCAAACACTATCTGTCAATCAATTAGAAGAATCTTCATCAACATGAAGATCCTGAGAACTGAAAGACCACCACAAATCGTCTTGTGATTTCCAGACTGACACCATCCTCACAAACCTTTCCATGCCCACCCACCCTCAAGTTCCCTTTAAAAGAAGAGCCCCAGCAGTCTATGGTGGTACACACTTATAAACCTAGCAACTCAGGAGTCTGAGGCAGGAGGATCACAAGTTCAAGGTCAGCCTCAGCAACTAAGTGAGGCCTTAAGCAACTTAGCAAGACATTCTCTCAAAATAAAATAAAAAGGGCTGAGGACTWAGCTCAGTGGTAAAGTGCTTGCTTAATATGTGTGAAGCTCTGGGTTCAATCCCTAGTACCAGGAGCATAGTTGGTGCGGGTGGAGGGGCCTGATACCCCAAAAGGCCATCTCACTCTCAAGATAGCCCACATCTTCTTTGAATGTGTACTCCTTGCTTTCCTATCTAAATCTCTACTGTGCCTCTGACACATCTTGAAATTCTTTTCTATGACAATTATGAAGGACCCCTTCATCCTAAGGTTCCCCTCTCTGGAAACTCTTCAGACCCCTGCCAGTGACATTATCAATACCCTTGTTGCCGAGCACAGTGTCCACATACAGCAGGTCATGGATAAATGAAAACAGGGCTGAGGATGCGTYTAAGTGGTAGAGCACTTGCCTAGCAAGCAATCACCCTGGGTTTGATCCCCAGCACCACAAAACAAAACAACAACAAAAGGTGGGGGGGGGTCAAAGACAGAGTGAATTGCAAAGGGAAACTTGTCCCTGGGGGTCAGTCTGTTGTCAGGAAACCTGTGGCTCTCTCACCAGCAACCAGAGGGTAACTACAGTCAGGAAGCAGTCACTCCAGGTTAAACAAGCTGGACAAGTGTCATATGGCTGGAAAGGACATGTGGTAGAAAAAGGCAGTCCCAGAATAGAGGGGTTAAGCACTTTGGGTTTTTCCAGCAGGACTCTGAGGTGCAATCCCCACCCCCAGACACACATCAAGGTGGTTTCTTGCACTCCTGAATTCCTCTTCCCAAGGACCTCTGTCCTGTCCCCTCTGGCCTTAAACTCTTCCCTGGCACCTCACCTAGTCTAGGGATCCTGCCTCCAGTGTGCCATCCTATGATATGTTTATAGAGGTGGGGTCCTGTCCAAAACATGTCCCTAACCACTAATCCCTGAAGCCTCCCTATGAGTCCCCCCCCTTGCTGTGTCCCCACCCCCAAGGCCCAGTGTGCGGGGCTTCCTCCCTTGGGAAGTCTCCAACGTGTCCCTCATGGTTAGGGTTCCTATGTGCTGGACCCCATTTCCCAGTGGTCTTCACTCCCATCCTCCAGGCCCCCTGTCCTGAACCCCGGGGTCTCAAGCGTCCCTGTCGGGTTCTCCTGAGCACCTAAGRCAGCCAGTGCCAACCTTTCATGTTCTCCGGGGGCTCCACGAACTTGCTCGGTATTTTGGTGCGGGACTCCTTCTTGGAACTCCTCATGGTACGGTCCCCTGCTGCAGAGGGGCCCTGTGCCTCGGGACCAGGAGACCGCGGGGCTGTGAGGTCTCTCCCCACGCCCTCTCCCGCCAGCGGCCGCCGCGGCGTCCATAGCAACCAGCGGCCCGCGCGGCTGCGCGCACCTACCGTACAGCTTGGGCGGGGACTGTTTGTTAGCCACTTTCTTCATCGTGCCGCGCCTGCGCGTCCGCGTCCGGCACTCTGACCCTAGAAGGCCTGGGCCGACTCGTGACGTCACGGCATCGTGGGCGATCGCGGTGACGTCACCTGCCAGCCTCGGGCCTTTGCGTGCCGGGATAGTTCTTATGAGGCCCTGCTGATAAGCCGGGGATGGCTTCCTTTTGGCCTTCTGTCCCTTCCCAGGTGAGCCAAGCTTATACCCCGACTTGGGGTCCAAGTCCCTGGAGAGGCTGTCCTTGATTCCCCAGTTAAAAGTAGCCCTTCTCGGTCATCTCAAATTTATACACCCACCTGCTGTCGCTGCTGCTTCTTTTGTCAGGGTCCTAATGCGTTTTGGAGTTATCTTGTTCATGAGGATGTCTGTGGTCACATTCGCTGCCAGAATGTCAGCTCCATAAGAGCAGGACCGCCTGACCCTTGCCCTTCCTCAAACCCCACATTTAGCACAGAGCAGTTGCTCAGTAACTGTGTCCAATGATGAATGAAGGCTCTAAAGCCAAAGGGAACTGGGTTCCTATCGGAACTTCGCCTGATTGTGTGTTCATGGGCCAGCCCCTTGACCTCTCTGAGTCACTTGTTTTCTTCACTTACATTACCTCCTTCACAAAACCACTGTAAGGATTAAGTGAGTAAACATTTAAAATACCCAACACAGTGCCCACCCCCCACAAACTCTAATGTCTTTTCTGTCAATTCTCAAAACCATGATGGTGTCCGAAGGAGAGAATACTCTATAACCATTTCACAGACGGAGAAACTGAGCTCCAGAGAGGAAAGGGCGGAAAAAAAAAAAAATCACCAGACTTGCAAGAAGCACAGCTTGAACCTGGTTTCCCCAAGTCCCAAGGCACTGTCTCCTGGGCCATTTATGAGCTCTGTCACAGTTTGCCCTAGACAAAGGAGGAATCTAGGAAGGATGTCAGCTGGGCTGGTCAGTTCCCCTGCGCCCTGAGTGTTCCCCACTCCTTGTCCCCCTCCCCCAAGTCATAGCCCCTTCTCCATGCCCCTCGAGATCTTACACCAGTTGAGACAGAAACACCCACCAAGGGCAGCTTCTCTCCTTCTAAGGCCCGGATACCAGCCTCCCTGCCTCCTCCAGAGTGACTCTTCAGTTCACTCCATGAACATTTACTGGGCACTTATGGTACACCTGGGGGTGCTGTATCACCTGGGTCCTCCAGGAAATAGATACTAAGATGGAGATAGGAGGGCAAGGGGTTTATGTCAGAGAGGAGTGGGAAGTATGGTAAGGCTTATGAAAGATGAGAGGGTGGGTATTAAAACAGCATATTTAAAAATAAAATAAGACTTTAAAAATGAAGGGGGAGGAAGCCAGCCTGGACGGGGAGAGCCTCAGAGAACTGCAGRTCTGATGAAGTCTAGGGCAAACAATGTTTGTTAGAGGCTGTCAGCTAAGCAGGGGAACATCAAATTCCGTCTTGAAGGTGGACTCTGGAACAATTCACCTCCATGGCTGCCACAGGAGCTCTGCTGGGGGAAAGTAAGACAWGCTTCCTCCTGCCCTCTAGGAGTTCAGAGTCCACCAAGAGAAAAGACGAACACCATGAAACTCTAATCTGTGCGCCTGGCTTCCGGAAGTTCTTTTAACTTCAGGGAGTTATACAGCTTGTGCCTGTCAATGGAGATCAAAGGACAAGGGAAAAAGGAGGTTTCATGGTCAGACAGGTATGCCGCCGGCTGGGCTCTGCCACTAGCCCCTGAGTGACCAAACACAGGTCTCATTTCCTCTGTGCCTCATGAAAGTGAACCAGATCAGAACTGCTTAACCTTTTGAGAATCTGATCAAAGTTAAGAATCTTTCCCCAGAAATGTGCATTTGATTTTTTTAAGGTGGTAAAATGCAGGTAACATAAAATTCACCTTTTTTTTTTTGAAAGGGGGTACCAGGGATTGAACTCAGAGACACTCAACCACTGAGCCACATCCCTAGTCTTATTTTGTATTTTATTTAGAGACAGGGTCTCACTGAGTTACTTAGGGCCTCGTTTTTGCTGAGGCTGGCTTTGAACTTGTGATCCTTCTGCCTCAGCCCCCCAAGCTACTGGTATTATAGGCATGGGCCACCAAGCCGAGCAAAATTCATCTTTTTTTTTTTTTTTTTTTTTTTGTGGTGATGGTGCTGGGGATTAAACCCAGGGCCTTGTGCATGTGAGGCAAGCACTCTACCAACTGAGCTATATCCCAGCCCCCCAATTCACCATTTTAACATATAAAATTTAGTGACACTTAATACATTTAGTGTTGTGCAACTGTCACTGCTAACTAGTTCCAGAAGGTTTTTTTTTATCACCCCCAAAGGAAATCCTGTATGCATTAAGCAGTCAGCCCCTGCCCCTTTCTCCCAGCCCCTGGAAACCACAAACTCTGTTCTGTCTTTATTTTATTTTTGCCTATTCTGAGCATTTCATGCAAATAGAACCATATGCTATTGGGTCTTCTTTTTCTTAGCATGGACTTCAGCCCTTTTTGTGACTGAATAATATTCAGAGCAGCAAAGCCAAGCAGTCTCTTCCCAGGTGGCAACTCTGAGCAGTTCCTTGATCTCAGGGTGGAGGAGGTAACTGGGTTGACAGAAGGCACGACATCAATTATTGCTTAATGTCTGTTTATTTCACCCAGCCAGGTGCTGAGCATGTCATCAACTACTTTTTCCAGAGGCTAAGTCTAGACTGCACCATCCCTGTCCTGGGGACAGCCACCAGCCCAAAGCCCAAGGCTGAAGGTAGTGTCTTCTCAAGCCCCTCACCTCTAGCTTCCCCTCCCCAGTTCACATCACTGTTCAGTCCCCTCCAGTTGCTCCGGCCCACTGCCCTGTCATCTCCATGCCCCCCCCAGCCCCTCCTCCCCACACAGCTGGCTCATCCCCACCTCTGGCCTCACCATCCTCACCTCTGTTTGCCACTCCCCTTTACAGGACACATCACATCACTTGCTCAGGTGACACTGTTCCCAGGATGGACTGACTTTAGTCTCAAGGATGACATACAGACAAGACACCATCCCCTGGCTCAAATCCCTCTTCTTCCCTTCTTGAGAACACAGGTATTTTAGAGTCCACTGGACTAGGTAGGTGTTAGGAGCACCAGGGCTTTGGAATAAAACATGGGCTTGCATGTCACCTTTGCTCCTACCTGGGCTGTCCTCTTTAGAGTGGCAACAGTGTTGCACTCATGGGATTGCTGTCACCCTCTGTTGTCCTCCAGTTTTGTTATCCTCGGAAGTATCACATGTACTTCTTTTTTTTTTTAATATTTATTTTTTAGTTTTCGGCAGACACAACATCTTTTTTTGTTTGTATGTGGTGCTCAGGATCGAACCCGGGCCTCACGCATGCCAGGCAAGCGCGCTACTGCTTGAGCCACATCCCCAGCCCTATCATATGTACTTCTGCACTGTCCTTGTCCTCTGCTGAAGCGTACACTCAGGGAGCAGGGCCTCCCCTGTCAGATCCAAGGTGTACCCCAGTTCTGGGAACAGCCTGGCACATGCAGGCCATCATGGCGGATGGGGCAAGTTGGGGGGCAGCCTGGAGAAGTGTCAGTGGGCAGGAGGGAGCTGCTTCTTACCACACAGCAGCACCCAAGGGCAAAAACCACAAACCACAGTGACATGTTCTGGAGAGGTTTGCGCTAAGACGACTTTTCTAAGAATCCAAGCTCCCTTCGGGGCATGTAGAAGTTCCAGTTTGGGCTGCTGTCGAGGACATGAGCCAAATGGATGGACATTGGGTTCTGGGGCTCTGTGCCAAGCCTCTCCACAAAAAGAAGTTTCTTCTCTGGCACCTCTCTTTCCTTGTCCTGGTTCAGAGAGGTTGCCCATGGAGGGCATAATCTGGCAAGGAAGCTGGGCCTGAGGAGTTGTCCACCCCACCATGGAGAAGACTGTTCTAGTGGTACGTGGCTGGGAACTGTGAGGGAGTGTGTCCTTAATGACAAGGACTGGGCCTGAGTCCTTAGCTGTGTGACAGGGCGGATGCCTCCTGGGTTTCAACTGATTTCTTTACAGTAGAGTCAGCACAGCCTTAATGGAGCTCCCAGGATCAATTCCAGAAGGAAAAAAAGAAAAAATGGTGTATCTGCAAGTACTCGGAAAGCCGTACAGATGAAAGGAATTACAGTTAAGACCCAGAACACTCGAATCTACTAATTTCTCTCTAGACAGCGTGGAGGCAGCATAATCACTCCCCACAGACGTCCACATCCTAATTGCTGGGGGCCATGAATCTGTTAGCTTACATGGCAAAGAGGACTTTGCAGATGTGATTAAGGATTTGGAGATTTGGAGATTATCCTGGATTATCTGGTGGGCCCTCGGTCATCACAAGGGTCCTTATAAAGAGGGAGGTGGAAGGGACTGAGTCTGAAAGGGGCTCGTGACTTGAGCCATGGTGGCCAGGAGCCAGAAAATGCAGCAGCATTCCGGAGCTGGCACAGGAGATGCACAGCTCAGCCGTCACCCTTATTTTAGCTACTTCAGACCTCTGATCTCTAGACGTCAGAGAATACATCTGTGTTGTTTTAAGCCACTAAATTTAAGGTCATTTGTTGTGGCAGCAATGAGAAGTAATACAGACATAGTGACAGAAGCACTGTTTCAAATGTGATTCTCCAACTTTTTTTTTCCTTCCCAGTCAATGAAAGCTTCTGTTCTTCCCAAGTTAGCTCAAGGTTTCCATGCCGTCATTAAACAGGTCACTGAATATCTGTCTTGAGTTCCATTTTAGCAGATCATGCCCTACTCGACACACCCAAGTTCAAATCCCAGCTCTGTGATTTTCTAGCTGAATGACCTTGGGCTAGGTCACTCGATCTCTCTGAGTCAGTCTCTTCCATGGCAAAATGGGGGGAATGCTATGAGAATTAAATGTGATTTCCTCCAAAAAGTCTTTCTTTTTACAGAAATTGAGTCATGTCTGGGTTACAGACAAAATACTGAATTCCCAGTTAAATTTTAATTTTAAATAAATAA